GGGGGGGTTGGCAGCGCTGGAATCACAGGATGACAGAGTCACAGAATCACAAAATCACAAAATCACAGAATCACAAAATCCCAAAATCCCAGAACCCCAGAACGTTCTGAGCTGAAGGGACCCACAAGGACCACCCAACCCAACCCTCAGCCCTGCACAGCCCCATCCCCAGGAGTCCCACTCTGTGCCCCAGAGGATCATCCAAACCCTCCTGGAGCTCTGGCAGCCTTGGTGCTGTGCCCACTGCCCTGGGGAGCCTGGGCAGTGCCCAAAAACCACCCTCTGGGGGAAGAACCTTCTCCTGAGATCCAGCCTGACCCTGCCCTGGCACAGCTCCAGCCCTTCCCTGGGTGCTGTCCCTGCTCACAGAGCAGAGAAAGATCCGTGGCTGCTCCTCCTCTTCCCCTCCCAGGAATGCCATGGCAGGGGGTGGGATGAGATGATCTTTGAGGTCCCTCCCAGCCCGGAGCATTCCAGGATTCCGTGACAGGTGAGGAGGCAGAGCCTTTAGACACTGAGTTCCTCACGGTCCTGCTGCTTCCAGCACCTCAGAGACCCCCCCAGCTCTGCCACAACCCCCCCAGGAGCAGCTGAGGACCAAACACCTCCTTTTGAACTGTGGCACGAAGAGGGGGGAAAGTCAGAGACACTTCACACCAAATATCCACCAACTGCAACTCCTCCATCACTGGGGCTCCACGGGGAGAGCTGATCTTGGAGGTCAGCACAGGAATAATTATCTCAGAGCTGCCTTTCAGTCATCAAATTAAACCCCCTGTGCCCCCTCCCCTCTCTTGGCTGGCAACTTGCTGAGTAAAGGCTCAGCCCAGCCAGAGGCTCTGAACCTCTGGCCACATCTGCAGAGCAGGAGAGGCAAAGGGCACCCCGGGCACCTCTGTGCCACCCCAGGCAGGCAGAGGTTCCCAGCTCAGCCCCAGCATCACAAAGTTCCTGCTCGTTAAGGAACCAAAGCTCATTAAAGGGTGATGATAGCCCAGCTCCCAGCCCTGCCAGAACTCCAGATACACCGAATCCCCCGATGCACCAAAGCTGCTCTCAGGCACCCCCAAAACCCAACCACAGCAGCTGCCCCCAAATAATGCAAAGAAACTTCCCTCCCATCTCCCAGGGGTGTCTGGGGGTGACCACCAGCAAACACTGAGAGTCCTCTCCCCCTCCAGCACAGCAACCCCAACCAGCTCCTTCAAAAAACCTTTCCCAAGCAGCATTTTATGCACATAAATGCAGAAATAAATCTGCATTTCACAGGCAGAGAGTCCCAGAACGGCCTGGGTTGGGGGGCACCTTAAAGCCCATCTCATTCCAACCCACTTTTCCCTGGACCAGGTTGCTCCAAACCCCTGTCCAAACACTCCCAGGGATGGGGAAGCTTCTCCAAGCAATTCCAGCAGCTCCAGAGGCTCAGACTTACCCAGCTCCTGGGGAGAACAGCTTGGGGATGTGACCGGGGAGTCCCGGCAGCAGCAGAGCTTTTATGCAGGGCCCAAACGTGCCCCGGGGGGGTGAGGGCCCCACACGGGCCCCATTAACAGCCAGGAAAAGCTGCAGCTCCCTGGGTGAGTCCCATCAGCACACTCACCCCTGACAATGAGTGGTTTGGTGGCAGCTTCCCAGAGGAAGAGTCATTAGTGCAGGAGGATCCTCCCTGGCACGGCAGGACTGAATGGCATCTGGGGAAGCAGCAGCAGCAGCAGCAGCCCCTGCCTCGGGGCTTTTGGGAGTGCACCCAGAAATAGGGGTGGTTTTCCAAAGGTTTCGCTGGATTTGCAGTCTGTGGAGGTGTCCTGGTGGTCCCATGGGAACGGGGCTGGGACATCACCCACTGTGGTGGGGCTGGGAGAGCTGCCCCGAGCTCCCCATGGCACAGAGTCCCAGAATCCCAGAACCTCAGGATTCCAGAATCCCAGAATCCCAGAATTACAGTCACAGAATCCCAGAATCCCAGAACCACAGAATCCCAGAATCTCAGAATCCCAGAATCCCAGAATCCCAGAACCACAGAATCACAGATCCTAGAATCCCAGATCCTAGAATCCCAGAATCCCAGATCTTAGAATCCCAGAATCCTGATCCCAGAACTGAAAGGACCCCCAAGGACCATCGAGTCCCACTCCTGGCCCTGCCCAGCCTCCTCCCTCTCTACCCCCCTGGCTTGGGCTGGCAGAGCTTCTCCCCCACCTCAAAGCCCAGGAGGTGCTGGTTGTGTTGGGGCAGGTTGGACACGGGATCAGCACTGGATCTGCTGGGGCAGGTTGGATGGGGGGCACTGGATCTGCTGGGACAGGCTGGACACAGGATCAGCTCTGGATCTGCTGGGACAGGTGGGATGGGGGGCACTGGACCTGCTGGGGGGAAACAGGAGCTCCCCGTGGAGCCCAAACCCCCCCTTGGCCTCCCCCAGAGCTCCATTTTCGGCTCTGGGAACCCCTGGCTCTGGGTGTCCCCACAACCCCGTGATCCCAGGGCATCACCTGTCAGCAGGGAATGGGAACAAAGCACCCGGTGACTCCCAGCTGATGGGAACACGAGGCACAGTCACCTGGCACTGCAGCCCTTGCCCGGCCAGCTCAGCTGGCAGAGCTGCCCCTGGCACTGCCACGGGTGACAAAAAGCCCCAGGAGCTGATAAACTTCCTCCGGGGCCACGTGGGGCTTTCTCAGCCCTTATCTCACCTTCTTATCTCACACGGCGTCCAGAGCACAGGAGAAACACGAGACGAGTTTTTGGAAGTGGCTGAAGGAGGGATCAGTCCCCTCAGGTGCACTTTGTCACCTGGAACGTGCCCAAAAAGGGACAATTTCTTCCTGCTCCAAGGACCAGCTGGTCCCACTGAGCTGAACCCACACCCAGGGGAGCAGGACTGGAGGATTTTTATTAAAAAAGGTGGTTCCCTGGGAACTGGAGAAGTGGCTCCACCCAGGTGGTTTTTGTGGCCGAGAGAAAGGTCCAGGAACAATTTTGTAGTGAAAAGGAATCAGGAAGTTTAGGAATTCCTGGGCAATTATGTCCCACATGGGGCAAGAATCAGGGAGGGCGAAATGGTCCCTTTACCAAAGGCTTTTCCAGCAGGAATGGATCCAGAGCCTTCCTGGTGAGCACTGAGTGGGGGCAGGGACACCTTCCACTCCACCAGGATGCTCCAAGCCCTGTCCAGCCTGGCTGGGGACACTCCCAGGGATGGGGCATCCTCTGGGAATCCATTCCGGGGCATCCTCTGGAAACCCATTCCAGGGCATCCTCTGGAAACCCATTCCAGGGCATCCTCTGGGAAATCCATTCTGGGACATCCTCTGGGAAACCCATTGCAGGGCATCCTCTGGGAAATCCATTCCAAGGCATCCTCTGGGAATCCATTCCAGGGCATCCTCTGGGAATCCATTGCAGGGCATCCTCTGGGAATCCATTGCAGGGCATCCTCTGGGAATCCATTCCAGGGCATCCTCTGGAAATCCTTTCCAGGGCATCCTCTGGAAATCCTTTCCAGGGCATCCTCTGGAAATCCATTCCAGGGCATCCTCTAGGAATCCTTTCCAGGGCATCCTCTGGGAATCCATTGCAGGGCATCCTCTGGAAACCCATTCTGGGGCATCCTCGGGGAAATCCATTCCAGGGCATCCTCTGGGAAAACCATTCCAGGGCCTCCCCACCCCGACAGGGAAGGATTTCTCCCAAAATCCAACCCCAAAGCCCCTCTCTGGCAGTTTGAACCCCCTGGCTCTCTGCAGCTCCCTGCTGGAGAGAGAAGAAGAGGCTGAGCTGGGGCTGTGGCACCGAGAGGTCCAGAGGGAAGCTGAAAACCCCCTGGGGGAGATGCCAGGGGAGCCAGCAGGGAATGCAGCACCTTGTAATGAGGCAGGAATGCAAAGGAGCCCCGATGGAGCATGAGCCAAAGCAGCAGGAATGCAAAGCTCCACATATGGAAACCTGGCAGGAGAACAAGGCAGCCAGAAGAAGGTAGAAGAAAAAAAAAAAAGGTAAATCGGCTGGATGTGATCTGGGATGTTGGGTTGAAACCTCAAGTGATGGGAAATTAGCTCTGCCCCAGTGATGGGAAATTAGCTCTGCCCCATTAATGGGAAAAAAACAAAGCAATAAATTAGGGAAAGAGCTGCAGTGCAGGAGGGAGCTCCAGCCCCTCGATGTCTCCCTTGCCCTGGGAACTGGACATGGAATTCGAGTTCCACGAACCACTAGAGCGCAGCATCCGCCCGGGAATCGCCTCCAGAGCAGCTCCCGGGGGTTGGGAAACCTCCCTCGCATCGTCTCGCTCTCCGAGGAAGCAAAACCGAGCACCAGAGCCGGCCCAGCGGCTGGGGCAGGATGGGGATGGGATGGGATGGGGAAGAGGATGGGGATGGGAGGATGGAGATGGGGATGGGGATGGGAATGGGGATGGGGAGGGGATGGGGATGGGGATGGCAGGATGGGGATGGGGATGGGGATGGGGATGGGAGGATAGAGATGGGGATGGGGATGCAATGGGGATGGGGAAGGGGATGGAGATGGGGATGTCAGGATGGGGATGGGGATTGCAGGATGACCGCAATGTCTGAGGGCTCCTCATGCCCCTGCCCCCTTGGCAGAGTCACCCCGGGTACCCCAGGGTGGGGGTGACCTGCTGGAGAGGACCCTGGGGGACCCCGAGGTGTCCCTGACAGTGTGTCCTGGGGGTCCGGGGGGGGATTTGGCTGAGCTTTGCCAGCAGGGCAGGAGCTGATCCTGCCCCTCGGATGGGGAGAGAGTGCCCGGCTCGGGCTGCTGGGCACGGGAGGGGCACGGGAGGGACTCGGGGGGGACACGGGAGGGACTCGGGGGGGACACGGGAGGGACTCGGGGGGGACACGGGAGGGACTCGGGGGGGACACGGGAGGGACTCGGGGGGGACACGGGAGGGACTCGGAGCTCCCGGAGCGGGTCCAGGGCAGGGGGACGAGGATGAGGGAGGCACTGGAGCATCTTTGGCACAGGGGATGAGGAGCTGGGGCTGTTCAGCCTCGAGCAGAGGCTCTGAGAGGGGACCCCCAGGGTCTGTCAGTGCTGCAGGGGATGGACCAGGGGTGGGGGGCAGCTTGGACAGGGCTTGGAGTCTACTGGAAGGTGTCCCTACCCTTGGGCTTGATGGTCTCTAAGGTCCCTTCCAGCCCAACCACGGGTCTCTGATTCCGGGCATGGAAAACACAGATTTCAGGAGCAGCCGGGCTGCACTTGGTGTTCCAGGGACTCCCTTCAGTCCATCCCTCAGGGCAGGGAGGGGAGGAACAAACGAGACGTGAGAGAGCGAGCGGAGCTCCCCCCTCCAGCCCATCAGACGTGTAATTAGAGAGCTGCGAACGAGCTGCAGACAATAAAACCTCACGCGTTATTAGCCCGGCGAGCAGCGAATCCACGATTTCGATGATTTCACAGCACCCAAGGCAAAACAGCGACTCCGCCGCGCAGGAGAACGAAACGCTCCTCGCTCGGACTCCTTCTTGCTTCATCCCGAAAGGCTTTTATTACTTAACGAACTCTTGTTTCTGCAATTAGCAGCCCCGCGGAGCTCTTTGTTCTGGTTGCTCCCAGGCTCAGTGGAGGGCAGTCTCTGCAGAAAATCCGGCGGGGGGGTCATTATTGCCCTGATGACTTTTCAAATGCAGGAGCGGAGCCCTTTCGACACCACTTTCTCCCTGCCCAGCGCCCAGAGCCTTTCACTCCAGGTTTGCCCGGGATTCACCCCCGTGCAGGTGTCAGAACGAAGCAAACCTGGGAGCTGAGGATTGTTGTTATTTTAAGAACTAACTCACTGCAGCCCGTGGAGCTGAGGGAACCCGTGGGAAGGAGCAGATCCAAGATAAGTCTCTCCCGAGCTTGAAAAGCAATAATTGCCCCTGCTAGGCTCCCTCTGTGCTGGATGTTCACCTGCTCCGGGTCCCTTCCACGACTCAGAACCCGCCAGTTGATCCCTTTTCCAGCCCTGAACTGGGTCAGGTTTGGTTTCCAGCCCAAACCCCTCTGAGGACACCAAGGTCGGGTCAGTCTTTGCTCTGTGCCAGGCCCCAAAACCCTCCCCTGCTGCTCTGGGCTTTGCCCCTTCCTTTATCCCCCCGAGGAACTCGTCCTCTCACCACACTCAGCCTTTAAAAACTCCTCTTTCCCCAGTAACTCAGGGAGCAAAGCAGTTTTAGGATCATCATTCAGGGCATGTTGGGAGAATCTCCAAGTCCTCTGGGCCTGATTCTCTTCCTGTAATCACCTCGTGTGATGCCATCAGTGTCACCAGGATGGAACAGGAAAACCCGAGATTATCCCATTAATCCAGGCTTTCCAGGGGTGCAGAAAGCTGGAAAAGAAAGGAGGAGTTTAATCCCTGCAGCCTTCAGCTCCCGAAATTTATTCCCCATTCATTCTGTTTGCCAGTGGAGGAGCCTGAAATCGCCACCACCGAGCCCTGACCCCACAGGGAGCCCTCCTTTGGCAATTATTAATTAAGAATATTCCACAGATTCGCCGGGATGGGACTCCCCCAACCCTGCAGGGAAGCACCGAACCAGTGCAAAGAGGGTGGGGCAGATTTGGGGGTCAGAGAGCTCCAAACACACCCCCAGGAGCCCAAAATCCCGGAGAGAAGGGTCTGTGCTGCCCCTGGGGGACATTTCTCACAGATCCACAACTGCCCAGCTGCAGGAACAGGGGGTTTGTCCCGACCTTTAGAGGAGAAAACTTCCCATTCTTGGGCATTTTCTATTTTATCAGCTGCTGGCCACACCTGAAACGTGGAATCCTGTTGTCCTTCAGCTGTTTTCCCAGCTCAGGAGTTCCAAGGTTTTTTTCAGCCCTGCCAGAAACAACAAAAGAAAATTCACCCAGAAATTCAAAACTGGGACCCGAACCCACTTCTTTGGCAGCACAGAGCCAATTTATTCCGACTAAATTCTCATAGAGATCAATTTTAAATCAATTTTAAATCAATTTTAAATCAATATTCCAAACCCAGGAGGTTCCCTGAGAACCCCCCCGTGGCACCAAGAGGACACAAGGCCAGAGGGACCCCCGGGGCTGCTCTGCTTTCCAAAAAGGAGATGAGAGGCCAAAATCCAACAAGTTCATTCCTGAGCTGCAGGGAGGGGATGAGGCAACTGGGAATGAGGCTCTTTGATGTGATGGGCAACTGGGAAGGGCTCCTGCTGTGCCCAGTGGGCTCCCAGTGAGGCAACCGGGGAATGGGAATAAATTCAGGCAGGGAATTAGGAGAGGAGACTCGACCAGCAGCCCAGGGAGGCTCAGGAACAGCCTGCACAGTCCGAAAATTGGGATGAAAACGTGGCAGAGGCTTTAGGATGGAGGTCAGGGAGTTTCTGGCCGAGGTTTTATGGCAGAGTTGAGTCCCTGACTCAGCCCCGGGTGTCTCCTGGAGCTCAGAAACTCAGCCAGGGGGAGAGGTTTAATGGGAACTGTCTGGGCTCTGGGAAGCTCAGGAGCTGCATGGCAGGGAAAATAAAAGAATAAAGGGGATCATGGAATCGTGGAATAGAAAATAGAATAGAATGGAAATGGAAATGAATAGAATGGAATGGAATGGAATAGAATAGGAATGGAAAAGAATAGAATAGAATAGAATAGAATAGAATAGAATAGAATAGAATAGAATAGAATAGAATAGAATAGAATAGAATAGAATAGAATAGAAATTGAAATGGATAGAATAGAATAAAATAGAATGGAAATGGAAATGGATAGAATGGAATGGAATGGAATAGGAATGGAAATTAATAGAATGGAATGGAATGGAATAGAAATGGAAATGAATAGAATAGAATAGAACAGAATAGAATAGAATAGAGTGGAGTAGAGTAGAGTAGAGTAGAGTAGAGTAGAGTAGAGTAGAGTAGAGTAGAGTAGAGTAGAGTAGAGTAGA